CTTATCTGCATATTCCCATCTTGGAATGATCTCATCCTTATCTTCGGTTTGTCCATCAAGGGGTGGTGTACCAATTTTGCGCCCTACCCTTCGGGCTTGCTTCTGCTCCTTATGTTTTTTGTCGGACGGTGAGAGCTTTTGCTCTTCACCTTCATACCCTGGGGCTGTGTTTACATTTTTACATGGATTACTGGCTACTTCAGGCCCATTCAAAACAAAAGTTGGCCAGTCAAACTTGTCAGCTCCTTCTCGAACCAACTCGGGTAGGCTGGTTGATCAAATTGGAAAAGTCCTATTTGAGTGTCTTTATCAATACTCATCTTAATCAGGCCCAACCTTCTCCTCTCTGACTCTGTTCTATGGAATTGTCTGTTAGCCATGCCCTATCTGCTCTTTCACTTTCTGCATGCAAGGTTCTGTCACTTTTTGGGGATGTGGTCATCTATGACACTGCTAATCTCCCTCGGCCATGCACACATGCTCCTTTCAGTGGGCTCTGCATGATCAATGGAACCTTGCCCAGGATCCCTTGGATGCTCCCATAACACTTCCTCCTTCCCTTGCACACGATCTCCTTGGTAGTTGGACAAGACTCGCACATTGGCATTTGTCTCATTTCCTTGTCCTCATCCAGATTTGCATCTGTTTACGGACACATACCTTCAGGGCTGGGATGCATGGGTCGATCACCATGAGGCTTCAGGTCATTGGTCTGTCGACGAACAGTTTTTACATATCAACATCCTAGAGTTCTTAGCCATGCATTGGACTTTGGATCACTTTTGTCCCATTGCCAGACATTGTCTGGTAATGATCCATTCCGACAATTCAACTGTAGTGGCTTATGTCAATCACCAAGGTGGCACCCAGTCAAGATCCCTCTGTTTTCATACATTGGATCTCCTATATTGGGCCCACACACACAACACATTTATGTAATTGCGTGACATATCCCAGGTACTTTCATCCTCATGGTGATCATCTTTCCAGCCCCATCAAGATTTACCCAACGGAGTGGCCCCTCCATAGTCTCGTTTTCTGGTGGCTTTGCAATCTGTGGGGTTTTCCTCACATCGATGCATTTGCCACTGCCCTAAATCACCCCTCTTTTGGTCACCAGTATCTCATCCTCAGGCTTTGGCTATAGATGCCTTCAGCCAGGATGTTTATCCTCTTATCTGATTGCTTCATCGGGTAGTTTCCCTTATCCATGCCACTCTGTGCCAGGTCCTTCTGATCGCTCCCTACTGGCCTGGCTCAACCATGGTTTCTTCATTTACTCCAACTACAATTATTCCCTCTTGTACCACTTCCCTTATTATCCGACCTTCTTCATCATACCCCAGCACCGGTTCTGCATCCCCCCATTTCACGTCCACAATCTTCACACCTGGCTTTTATCTGGTCCTTGGCGAGGAGATTTAGTTTCTTCTGTCATATAGCTTTTCATTTGGCTCAATCTACCTGTCCTTCCTCCATGGAAGTGTATCAGCAAAAGTGGAGGTCTTTTGCAAATAGGCTCAGGGATTTCCTGCTGCTCGTCCTACTATTGCTGGTGTCCCCGAGTTTCTCACATGGCTTTTTGACTGGGGGTCTTTGGTCTCCTCAATTTCAGGTTTTTTAGCAACTTTATCCCATACCCTTCGTCTTTCCCTTTACCACATGGTTTTTCTCTCTCCCCGTTCATACCATGTTAATCCATTCCTTCCAGATTCGGTGACGTGCTCTTCTAGATTGGGATATTAATGTGGTTCTCCATTCCCTGACTTTACCTTCGTTCAAACCTGTTTCCTCATGTTCTTTGTTTCACCTGTCCCTTAAGGTGTATTTCCTTCTTTTGGCCTGTGGGCGTTAGCTGTCTGACTTGTTCGCCATCTACATTACACACACACTTTACCATCATACCTATCTTCCCCTTGATCTGGATCGTTCCTTCCTTCCCCAAACCTTGGTGGCTCGTGAGGGTAACTCCTCCATTTGATCTATTTCTCTTCCCTCTATTTTTCATCTCTACCACTGTCCCAATCCGGATAGACCTCTATGTCCTGTGTGTGCCCTTTGTTGTCTTATTGCCTGACACGGCTTCCTTCTGTGGTTCCTGTTCCTGTCTCTATCTTGTGGCAATCTTTTTCATTCAGAGATCTCTCCCCTTTTACCCTCACCAATTGGGTTCATCATTTGATTCAGTTAGCTTATTCCTCCTTGTCCCCTTCCTATCATACTTTGTTCTGTGTTACCTCTCATCAAATTGGACACCTCACCTTCTCCCTCGTTTTTTGATTCCAATAGGGGGGTGCGCAAGGCTTGTGGTATGTGTAATAAAAAGCTTGCATACAGAGGGAAGCAATGAGAGAGAATAGCTAATCTTGCAAGTGGAGGAAATACCTATCAGAAATACATTTTCAGTATAGTATTGTAATGTATAAAAACATGCTGAGTATTGTTATTAAGGCAACATTACAAAAATGTAGTTATCACAAACACAATCCTGTTACTGGCATTAAAGGAGCAGCACTTGAATAAGCTAAATGTGTTATCAAACCTTTGGTTAACATCTGGAAATGTGTTTAAGATAGTGGAGTGAATTGTTATTATACATACTTATTTCTAAACATTCAAGTAAGTATTTCTGAAATTTTAATTAACCATGCAGTTATCTTCATTTTTTTGGAAATAGTGAGAAAACCGTGTTCTGTAAAACCTTGAGAAATTGTGTATTCATTATCAATCACCTTAAAAATGGGTAGAAGACTTGAATGTGTTTTATAAACATCTGAATAAAAGAATAATAACTGTGTGAGTAGCCACTGAAATTAACCTTTTTAGGCAGAGCTTTCTAAGACTGAACAATCTCAGTTTAATGCAGAGGAAATCAACAACTGTGAATTAACACATAGTGTTATTAAAACAGTCATGTAAACAAGATAAGTATTTTGTTAAAACAAGAGTTACCAAATTAAACCAAATACTGCAGTTAGAGTAAATTGTGTTAGATAAATAATTCCATATTTGGTAGTAATATATCATTATCATGTTTATTATCATAAGTGTAATTTTTAGTTAGTTACTAATTCTTTTATACTATTACTAGATACTACTAATAGTATACATAAAGAAGAATAAAGGTAATTAACGATTAAAATTCGATCCCCAAAACCTTATTGTAATTATGTTAGTAATCTAATTGACCTATTTGAATTGCACAACATTTATTACACTTGAATGTTCAGTCACTATTTTCAAGATGCAGTAATGCTATCATCTCGTGTATAGAATGTTTTTTCAGGTACCTTTGTGCTATGTTGTATGATCATCAGATTAATTGTTTGACATTTCTTAGTGTTTAAGGTCTTCATCTTGAGTATTTGAAATTTATTCTAAAAATGCTGTATGTTAAAGTTTTTTGTTCAAAATGTAAGCAGTTCAGACATACAAATACAGTTGTGCTTTACTATTAGGCTCTCAGTAGTTTCAAGCAGTAAGATGAAATAAGGCATATTTAGGTATAGATGCAGCTTTTTTGTATAGAAATTAAATCTGATGATGATATATATTTTTATCCTAGGTTAGTGATCTTTACCAAAGTGTTCTTTTACAAAGTGGTGACCTAGGTGAACTTGCCTGCAGTAAACCTCACAAAGTGCCTTTATTCCCATCAATGATCCAGAAAGTAAGTATAAGTGTTTTGATGATAAAGGTACTTAAAAAAATAAAGCTATATGTTTGTTTTTAATATGTTGGATATGACATAATTGATACTTTTTTTTAGTATGACTTTAACGTTTTGAACCGTTTACTGAAATGCATACATTAAGTAGAAAACACAGCAGCAGTTAAACATACCATACATTATTTGTATAAGATAAATTATATGTTAAGAGTCTTTTTAAAACATGGGAAGACAACTAGCAGGAAGAAATCTATGCTGGTTTGATTTGATCAAACTAAATGAATAATAAAAAAAGGAAAATCATCTTGAATTTTCGAGTGTTCATATTTTTTAGCCATCATTTTAATCATGTTTCAGCTATAACTACTTGTATTTTTTCAGGAATTTTAAAAACATTTATGGCCATCATAGTTGTGTAATGATTTTCAATATTCCTCTTCATTATCATTTTTACAGTAGCAACAATTTTATGGGAAATGCCTGACATGTAATGACTAACATGTCTTCTTCCTATTAGCAAGATTCCCTGGTTTTTAAAATAATGCTTCGCAGATAATGATTTCCGACATCTTGTACTTTCAGTCATTTTCTTCTTTTTGCACAGTAGCAAGAGAGTTCTTGAAAATGCTTGAGAGGTAATTGTATGCAACTCCTTTTTCATGAAAACAGATTTTCCATGTAAACAACAGTATCAAATCTGAAAAAATGTATCTCGTTTAATAATTGGAAACAGTTTATATATAGTTTTCCATCCTCCTCCCTTTGTATATTTAAATTAGGGTGTAAAATACCCATGGAATATTTTGACTGTTAAATGCCAAACGTGTGATAATTTGGAACTTCTGTTCTGGATTGAGTTAAAAGCATCATTGGCAATGAATATGGCAGACATTGTATAGTTGTGATACTATTATTATAAACTCTTCTAATTCCTGATAATCCCTAAGGGTCTAGATGAATAATGCAGTGATAAAATATGGTTGATACTAATGTCTTATGATATGTATAATTAATTATAAACTCTTGTTTCTTTTAGTAATTTTTTTCCATTTTCACAGTAACATCAGTTTAGAGGAAAGTACCTAATAAGAGATTATTTGCAAATCTTGTTTTTCCAAGCAAATTTTTTCAATTATCTAGTAACCTCAAGTATGTAAAGATCTTCGATGACGAGGAACCCACTTTGAGACTAATAATGGCTGGAGACGGCTTGAGTGGGTAATGATGAAAAACTTTAATATAAGTTTAACATAACAGCAAATGTACAATGTTTC